TGATGTGATCTCTCCATTACATTTTCCAAGGCAACATAGCTTTCATATTCTGCCAGCTTTTGTAAGGATCACTAAAATACAAAATAAAACAAGAACTTACCTTGTTTAGAATGCAACTATTAAAACCAGCATCTTAAGCCCATGATGTAGTGTGTGTGCTGCCATTCGTTAAGCTGGGTGTTTTAAATTTCCACTAAATGGTTACAGCACTTTGTCTTGAGTTGATCATTTTTGTATGAATAGCTTCAGAGAAGTATACAAATTTTACAGTGACTTTATAGGCGTCGGGTCGTTAAGACATTTTACGTGTTCCTTGAAGAACTGCAAACCCATTTTTGCCTCAGAGTGAAACAATTAATGTAATCATTTAAAATAGTATAAAGTGTAAAACAATCTAAAGTAGCAATTATGCTAAATATTTATTCATTTATTTTGTCTGAGGTGGAAAAGAGATTCAAAAATGTTGATCTAAATCTATAATAAAGTGTCAAAATATAGCAATGAGTTTATTTATTTTTAGCCTATTTGAATTTTTGTTTTGTCGTTAATGATCGATAACGCAAAGTGCTCGGAAGGTCTGCTGTTGTTATGATTACTTTCTCAGTTAAATGCAATTTCTATTGCTGTTATGTCAAATTCACACTGCAAAGGTGGCATAGAAGTGCTTCTGAAGTGGCATTTAAGTGTTTTCACACAGACTGTTTAATGCTGCTCAGAGGTGGCATAAATGCATTTACACAGTAATTACAACTGTATACTATAATACTAGGGGCCGAGGTGGTTTATAGCAGGCATAATTTAGTCTGGCTTTTATTCTGCATTACATCTTTAGACAGAATTTTGAGCAGGCACAGAGCAGCCTTAGCTTAGCTGTGTAAAGAGACCTATATTACTGTATTTTTCTGTCGGTAAATGTAAATATAAATGTATAAATAAATAATAAATTTACTTGCAGGTAAAACTTCTTGTATAATTTCAGTTAAACATATCTTCAATAATAATTTTAAGAACCCCAACCCTTTTCATTTTGACTTCTTTTGAAGGTTCAAACCTTAATTACTGTACCCTGCTTTTAAGTGACCTTTGTCAATAGTGTAGTCTAAGTGAGATGAACATACAACTGAGAAAGTGAACTTTCTTGAGCTAATATCAGTGTGAAGGGTCAAAATGATAGGCTTACAAACCACCAAACAAATCAGTAAAGCAAAAATATGAGCAGAGTAGGTGTGTGAGAGCAGACGGGCAGATAAAGAGATGGTGTGATCGTTGCAGGGGAGAGAGGGAGATGTGACAGGGTGTTTAATATAGATCCTCCAGTCTGATAAAACTGACAGGAGGTTCCCATCCCCAGAAGAGCAGGGACTCATAGGAAATTGCCAGAATGAAAAACAGAGAGAGAGAGAAAGAGAGAGGAGGATTACGTGACTAACACCCCTCATTACTCTGTATTTTCTCTCTCTCTTGTTTTTTTTCTTCTTTTTTAGAATTCTCTAGAATTTGTTACTGAGCTTTAGAAGTATTCAGATATGGCTTCTGCCCAAAAATATGGTATATACATTGTATGGTTGTACAACTTGATTATTGTTAACATTTTTGAGTAAAAAAAAAATCCTGAAGGGACCTTGCATTGCAGTTCACATCGTGTGAAAGCTGTAGCTCAACACTGTATGTATCTGAGTTCAGCTTGTGTGAGAGCAGAAGAGTGTTTGTTCAGTCTCTGGGTTCAGAGGCCCAGCGTTTACATGCAATGTACTGTATAGATTAGTCCTTGATGACAGAAACTCAACATTACTGCTTGTCACATGGCTCTTGTTGCAATACCAGAATTTGAGATGCATGTGACTGTCAATGTACTGAAAACAGAAATTTGAATCATATATTTATGCCCAGTATTGTTCAAGATTCTCAGTGCAATTTAATTCACCATGACATATATAATAGTTATCTTCATTGTATAATCAGAGAATGCTTTCATTGTCAAATGCCTGAACTTACATATAAGAGAATGTAATTTAGTTTATCATTAATAAAAACAAAGTTAAAATGGCTTTAGATCAATTTAATGTGTCCTTGCTGAATAAAATTTTGTTTTCTCTGAAAACAATATATAAAAAATATATCTCTGAAATATTTATGTTTATAATGTATTATATATTTTAATATTAAACAAAGCATCTAATTACAATACAAATTATGCTGATGATAATGATGATTATTATTATTATGAAAGACAACAATCCAAATGGACCATATTAACTTGATAGTATGGTTAAAATATAGCAAGGCATTCAGTCCATTAAGGATATTATAACTACACACCCAAAGGAAAGTCATTTCAGCATGAAACTTATTTGAACCCAGATATGAGAAAGAAATTTATCATTTAAGACATAAATGCAGCTGGATTATTTCCAATGGTTTGATAATGTATCTGTAAAACCAGAAAATCATCTTGTAGTTCACTATGTGGAAAGCCTCTCCTTTAGGGAAAAGAGTGAGGAGGTACGTGACTGACAGCTCATGTTAATACAATGAGGAGAAGCTCTGACTCCTCTGTGGACCAGTGTGTGTATATGTGTGCAATCTGCTCCTTAGAACATCTGTGAGCAAGACCTCATTTATCTACGCCCAAACCCACCTGATAACAGACTCTCTGGGAGGAGTGTGCGATAAATGGGTTTTCTAAAGATGGGAGAGAGGGAATACACATGAATTAGCTCAAGGGAGAGTTAGACGTGATTCAACTGTAATCAAATTCAGTAAAAAAAAATGTATGTGAGTAATTTTTTTTTATATGTTATGCTTAGTCATAATTATCATATACATGTGTGGAGTGGGTAATATTTTGTATGATTTTGAAAGGTCTCTTATACTCACCAGGGCTGCATTTATTTGATCAAAAATACAGTAGAAACTGTAATATTGTGAAATATTATTACAATTTAAATTAAGTGTTTTGCCTGTGATGGCAAAGCTGAATTTTCAGCAGCAGTCTTCAATGTCACATGCTCCTTTAGAAATCATTGTGATATGCTGATTTCATGCTGAAGAAACATTTCTTATTATTATCAGATCTGTGCTACTTAATATTTTTTTGTAAAAAAAAATTTTTTTCTTCTGTTTTTACTCTTACTCTTTGCTGAACAAAGTTCAAAAGAACAATTTATTTTAAATCGAAATCGTTTATAACAGTTTAAATGTCTTTACTGTCACTTTTGATCAATTTAAATGCATCCTTGCTTAAAAAAAATCTGAATGATTAATTTCTGAATAGTGTATATTTATGATTTATTGAAATCACTTTGAAAGTTAAAATAGCCCACTGAAATCATCCAGGAATATCAATCAGACAGATCCCTATTTTGTATCATAAACACAATAAAGACACACATCCATTATTAATACATATACCTTTATTTTATCTCTAATAATTCATATATGTATTTGTCCTATACATACATACATAGATCAAATTTAGACTTTATAATGTACAATAGATTTTCAATACTTTGATAGACAGAATAAGAAATTCTGCTGCGAAAGAAGAGGATAGGTCAGCACTGGACTGAAGCACACACACACACGCACACACTCACACACACAGATGCACAATATAGACTCACGTCTACGGCATGCACACACACACTGACTGAACTGACCATGGCTTATTACTTCTCTACCTCGATGCACAGCTCACACATGTCGGTTCGACAGAGAAATCGACGTCCTCACATTTGCCCACTCTACAAATTCAACGAGTCAGCACAGAACGCCGGACCACACGAACAACAAGACTCACAAAGTACACATGCACATACTTAGATGTCCAGTCCTACTTTTTTTTTCATGAAAAAAGTCTTGAGGATCAAGGCTGAAGCATTTGTAACAAGCACATTAGTATTTGGTTTCTGCTACTTAGTGTAACTCACATAAAGAAATATGTAAAAATAAATGCCAAAGCCCCCCGTTAACATTGAGAAACATGCTAGTCGTCGATCAATATTGTTTTTTTTCTTAGACTTTTACATTTGGTCCCCCCCAGTCCTGAATATTTGGTCCCATTCTTGTAAATGTTACATGTAAACGGTAACTGGGTAGGCAGACAAAGAGTTCCAGTTGCAAATAAACAAAATAAGCATTATGTGAATGAAATGCCACAAATGTCCCACAAATAAATACACATATGCCTAACAATTGGTACATATCCGCCAAAAGTAGGCTAAACACTTAATATCTGTTACATATACGGGCATGGTGGTCAAAGACACACACATACACACATATCCACTCACACACACATACACACCTGTGCAAAAAAAACTTTAAAAAATGTATGATTTGGGCCCTTGCTTGTCTCATAAAAAACATTCTGTTACATTCCTACTTTTACACTTTCCACATCTGAAATGTAAAATAAAAAACTATTTAACAAAAAATAAAGAAAATATATTCACAATGAGTGATGGATTCAGTCCCTAATCCACAAGCAGCTTCTTTTAAGTCATACTTACACATTTCTATAATGACAATAAAGAAACAAAATAATTTTTGGCCTTATATAAATGAATAAATGAAAAATATACCTGAAATTGGTCACAAAACCACAATATAACAATCTTTATGTATTTAGTTACTATTTAAGGAAAAAGAAATATTGTAGAAAAGCAATCTATATAAATTTTAGATTTTCATAAAGTAAAATTAACCACTTGTGCGTCCATTCCTGTTCTTATCCCAAACTTCACTAAACAGATATACGTTTGGGGTTGGTGAGATTCAGATATCAATCTGATATGCTGATTTGCTGCTTAAGAAACATTTCTTATTATCAATGTTGAAAACATTATTTTTCAGGATTCTTTGATCAATAGAAGGTTCAAAAGAACAGCATTTATATGAAATAATCTTTTGTAACAATGTAAAGATTTTTACTGTCACCTTTGATTAGTTAATGTATCCTTGCTGACTAAAAGTAGTAATTTCTTTCAAAAAAAAAAAAAATCTTACTGACCCCAAACTTTTCAACATTAGTGTACACGAGCCATATATATATAAACTGTTTATGGAGATCTAAAATTAACAACGGAAGGACAAAACACAAACTCAAGAACTTGCTACGGCAGTCAGTAGTTCATATGAGCGCTGACAGTGGTCACACATGGATGGCTAGTATAAGAATAAAACAATGGCTGTATTCGGAGGCCTGGCCTCACCGTCACACAATACAGGTAGCAGACTCCTCTGGGGTGAGGTGTGAAGGGAGGTCAGCCGAGGCCCTTACAGGAGACACGGGTCCCCTGCGTTTGTGCTACATGTCCAGCACAAGAGGAAATGTGTCACACGGCGTTGGTGATGACAATTGTGTCTCTCTGAGGGCCGCTGGACCCCGGAGCCTCAGGGGTAATGCTCTTTAGCAGACGCTACAGGGGTAAGCAGTGAGAGTGGTGAAAACTGTGAAAACATTTAAGCTACAGGAGGGTGTTACAGTAAGTCGAACAGCTCAACTACAAAGAAATATCTTGGAGATTAAACAACAGTGATATGTTGCAACTCTTGCAACAGCTGTGGGCTAAAACTCTCCTCTATGAGGCACATAATTACTCACCCCAAACCTGACATGCCAAAGGCACTGGTAGTTACATCACAGAATCAACAAAGGTTAACCTTGTGTCATTTTTCATCATCTGCCAAACACACATCCTGTGACTAAAGCACACACACTCATGGATGTATACAGTGACTGACAGCCATGTGCCTTGACGCCCTTTGATGTCTATCTTCACGTCTCAAACAGAGAAAATGTACAACGTTATCAAGCTGATACGTTGCAGCATAATTGCGTTTGTGCTGCTGTAATGTGTTTAGGTGTCGTTATTATATCTGGCTCACTTATTAGACCTGACAAGATACAGTAATGTATGTGTTTTGATGTTTTCATCTGTCTAGGCTCACCTGTTTGAAGGTCCCTTTGGTGGTGACTAGATGGTAGACCATGTAAGAAGGCACACAGATGAAGGAGGAGACTCCAATACAGTAGCCGAGAACTGTGGTCCAGAAAGGGTACAGGTAGTCAAACAGCCTCACCTCGGGAGGGAATGCCAGGAAACTCCCAATAATGAACTACAGACATGAAACAATGAGAAAAATAACAAAACTGTATTTGCATTTCTGACATGCTGAGATCTGGCAACAGATAACAAACGTCATAAATGAGAGGTTAAAGGGATAGTTCAGCCCAAAATGAAAATGCTGTCATCATTTACTCAACCTCATGTTGTTCCAAACCTGTTCCTCAAAAGAAAGTCATACATGAGAAAATGATGACAGAATTTTCATTTTTGGGCCAATTGTCCCTTTCAGTGTACAGTATTTGCATGTAAATGCGCTTTCTGGACTGGGTTTCTGTAACTCAGACAGCATAGTATATCAAATCATGGGTATGAAGGGAATGCATGAACTGATAAAACATACTTTGAATGCATTGTTGTTTTGGTATGTCGCCAAATGCATAAATGTAATGTAATAGACTGACCAATAGGAAGCAGGGACAGATGGCTACCCAGCAGACCCTCCAAAACACACCAGGAGCAAAGCCAAGCATCAGCTGCACGTCGTTGCAGAAACGTGTCGTCCCTGCACGCATTTTGCAAACAGACTTAGTGCACATCGCCTGAAGCAGCATATCGGATTACAAAACTATTGAGGTACATGATAAAATCTTGGGACTTATAGACGGTAGTTGAATAAGAAAGAACAGATGGACAACAGCAGAGTATAAAGTGACAGAAGTAGCTAAACAGTTTTATAGTTCGACATTATGACTTCTCTCCCTGCAGTAGTGACTAAAAATTACATTTTCATAGACTCTCGGGAATTAGGCTAAAGGGTGCACAGTCCAAAATAAAGAAATATAAATGCTAGGAAGTTCAGCAGTAATGTTTAGAATTTTTATTTTGAAGTTTTGTGGGAGTTGAGGAACAAAAATTGACATATCGAAAGCATACATTTTCTGGTTCCAGCCCAAAAGCCTCTAAGGGTCTATCTTGTCTAGACAACTCATTAAGAAACTACGTAGGAGTTTGTTTGCTTCATCAAACCAGCATGGATTCAGACCAGCAGCACAGTCAAAACTGATTAAAGTTATATTTTGAATGCTTAAGCTGCAATCCAATACATACCATAGAACCAGGAAACAGCAATGACCTCGAGGAAGACCACGGTGATAACAGCAGGGCCTGTGGCATACTCCTCAAATAGTTTAACAACAAACGCACCTCCCTACAAACACATTGCTTCAGTATTAAAAGGAATAATTAATGTGCACACTTTGGAAAATGGCATGTTATTTTGGTAAAATTCCGGACAGTATTTAAAGCCTATTAGAACTGAAGGAAAATCCCCCAAAGCAAAACAAAATTTTTGTTAGCTGTGCTGTTAGACTTACGTAGGTAAGAGTGGAGAGGGCGCCCAAATAACAGACACACACAAGGCCGAGCACAAACCATTCTCTCCTCCTGGCCAACAGGTGGGGGAACTCATCCAACATGGCTGTAATTACCCCTTCCAGACCTGCAAACTGTAGTGTGCAAACACACACAAGAGAGGCATGGGATGATAGAAAAGTAGGTCAAGGACCCATTGAACTTGTACAGGAATTAATTCAAATAATGCTCCTTAAGGTAAATACAGCACTCAGTGGATTTTGACATTATAATCAAACAGAAATAGACTACATATGGAGTTATATCATTAGCAGACTGAATTAAGCTATTCCTGACATGACTTCCCTAGTAAAAAATAAATATACTAAAATTAGGGCTGCACGATATATCGCTTCAGCATCGATATCGCGATATGCGTATCCGCGCTAGTCACCTCGCAGGATGTGCGATGTTTAGTATAGGCGACTGGTCGTTTTCTTTGCTCACACACAGACACGGTGTCTACACCGGTTGCGACAGCTGTACAGAGATACCCATTTTAAATACATTTAGTAGCAGAGCTACCGCACGCGATTTTCAGTGCTGGAAATCCATTAATCCTTTGTTGAAACTTCCGCGTCGTCGCGGAGAGCGCAGTTCACGGTCGCTTAGCAACAGCAGACACCACTAAAGGCTAGTGATGGGAAGTTCGGATCATTTTACCGACTCGGACCTTTGAGTCTCGTTCAGCAAAATGAACGAATCTTTTTTCGAGTCATTTCGTTCATTTTAACAAAATATAATTAAAATGTTACGTGTTACTTCCCTAATATGTCTACTACTTACGCAAACGTTGATCACACTACAAACAATACACTTATGGGGCTGTCACGTGATGAACGAACGACTCGGAAAAACCCGAAGACTCGAACCAGGTGAACTACTTGACTAATTCCAGTACAGAACCTATAGGATGTTGCGCATGCGCGACTGAACGAATCACTCCCCGAAACGACTCGTTCTTCCCGAGTCACATTAAAGATTCGTTCAAAACGAACGAATTGTTCAAGAACGACCCAACACTACTAAAGGCAAGCTCCCCAGCGCTGTGGAAAGGAGAAAGCGGCAGGACTGGCGTTTTCCCACGCGTTTTTAGGCGCGACATGTGAACGGCCTCAAAGTCTGTCTACACAGGACGCGACAAAGCGACCGTTGCCAATCATTTGAACTTTGCGTCAGTACATCATAAAGAGTAAACGTGTAAACAGCATCACTGATTATAATGGGTTCAGTGTCTTTTTCCGCGCCGCTAGCGTCCGGTGAAGACATGGTGAGAGACAGATGCACGTGAACACTGAATTCTGTTCACTTCTGCGTCTATTTGTGCCTGAAATACTGTGCTCTGCAAGTATCCTTGTAAACGCAGTTGCTTATGGCTTAGGTGAAGGGAAACGATTGAGAAAGAAAATGTATGTGTAACAGTATATTGGTTTACAGCAGTTTAATGTTCCTGAGGCTTTCTGTGTTATGAATGTTAATCAAACAACAAAACACAAAGAAAAATCACTTTTGTAGCTTTAACACAGATTTATTAGATTTAATTTATACAGTGAAGACTATGCAGTGTTATTTTACATTTGATTATTCAATTTCTGTACCTGTTATACTTACCTGAAAAATATTTATATTTATCTATGCTTGTAATTTGTTTATTTCCTATGCTGATTTACTCAGCATAAAATCACCCCAATCATTGATTATTTTTTCCCCCAAATAAACTATTGAAGTCATGTGGTGATTTTTTTTTTCATATATATAGCAGAAAAACAAAATATCGCAATGTGAGTTTTTTCCAATATCGTGCAGCCCTAACTAAAATGTATTTGAAATACATTTATTTCATGCTAGTATACTACAAATACATTTACATATTTATGTACTTCATAAAAATACCCTGCAATTGTACTTTTGGTATACTTAAAGTCTGCTAAACTGGAACAATTAATTTTGTAATGAATGCATTTTAATTGTGCGGAAGTAGTGCTGAAGTCCCACTAAAGATATACTATTTGATTGTGCTAAAGTACAACTACTGCAAGTATACTTTAGGTACACTTTTTAGGTCTTGCATTTAAAGACAATATTATTCAAAGATCACGCAATCATAAATAGTGACATTAGAACACATATTAGGCTTAATATTAAGTAGTATGTATTGTGCACAAGTAGTACTCCAAATAAAGTTGAGTTCAAATTTGTATATCAGTAAGTCCCGAGCAATGTGTCAATAAATATGTTAATAGATTTGAACTATGCTTAGTATGAAATAAATGTATTTTAAATGTATACGTTTTTACTAGGGTTGATTGTGTGTGTGGTCAGCATAGGGACAGGAATGGGTTAACTATGCACGCTGAAGACCTAATGTAATGAAACACTGTAGACAATACATTTTACTAAATTCAGAAACAATAAGCTGAGTAAACAGAAGGAAAAATCTAATTCATTAAGAGAGAATTGATTGGTTAGTATTTCAAGAAAGCAAGAAAGACTGACCGTGCTATCCAGCCCCAGCATAATTATCATGAGGAAGAATATGATGGCGAAGAACGTAGCAGCCGGCATATTGGCAATAGCCTCAGCATAGATGATGAAAAGCAGACTGGGACCTTAGAACACATGCATCCAATCAGGACAGGTAAATAAAATGGCATTTTAGTGTAAACAGCCATATCACATTGTAGTTTCAATGCAATGATTTGCAATTGATATTAACTGATATTCAAAATTCTTTAATTGGTACTTAATTGAATGGAAATGGTGCCATAAAGCAAGAATAAAGAAATTAGGTAGAAATGAAATGAGGTGCTTACCAGCATCTTTAGCTACAGTCTCCACACGTTGTTGGCGCATCTCTGCCATGTAGCCCAGCACAGTGAAGATCACAAAGCCTGACAGGAAACTGGTCAAACAGTTCACTGAGCTTGTGACCAATGCATCTCTGCAATTCAAAGAGAGATATAAAGATTTGAGCAAAAAGAAAAATGGTAAAAAGATAAATAGCTTAAACAGGGAGCGACAGAGAAAAGGGATAATAGAAAATAAAAACTAGATTTTTAGAAAGCTGGCGATTGCGACAAGTGTTGTGGGTGATTTCAGGCATTGCTATGGTTTTAAGAAAGGTTCCTGGTTTCTTACAGCACCAAGTCAACAGAGTCCACTTCCAAGTCTCTATCATATTCTGGTTCTCAGATAAGTTGAGATAATTTTTTTTCACACTTGTTTTTATCATAAATAAGGTTGCTTAGAGAAGTAATAGCACTCCTTTCCTCAACAAATCTAATGATTCATGGTATCATTTTTGCTATGGCCTGAACAATGCTGGAAGAGTTATGTGCCAAAGTGTGATACTTAGGATTAGGCCAACGTCAAACCTGCATAGAAACGCATGCAAAAAGATGCAGGGAATAAACTGTGACTAAAGTTCACATTTTAAGCTCAAGTTTGTGATAACAGAACCTTAGTGCAGATAATAGAAAATGACAGCAGTATAAATGTGAGCCAGGTGTACTTGTAGCAGTTGTTATGAAAGGGATTGTAGCTGGCAAAGGCCAGGAGAACACCAAAGCCTGGACCCAGAGAGAAGAAGATCTGCGCAGCTGCATCAAGCCAAACCTGAAAAAACACAGATGGAGTGATTTGTCTGTAAAGATTTTCATTCATCCATATCATACCTGACAGATGGCAGGAAATATGTGTTATAGGGGAAAAGGGACAGCAACCAACATGGATTGTGCAATATCTTAGGATTCAGAATGGTTGATTTAGTTGCCACTCACTGTAGTGGTTAAAAGTTTGCTCCAATCAGGTTTCAGGTAGAAGACCACTCCTCTCCATGCTCCTGGCAGGGTGGCCCCTCTTATCAACAGGATCAGCAGCACCAGGTACGGAAAGGTAGCCGTCACCCACACTACCTGCCAGAGAGAGTGATGAAGAAGCTGCTGATAATCAGTTTTAACTCAAAGTTGGCAGTCCTTTTTCTTTGAGGTTTCCTGCATATCTTACCTTGCCGGAGGTCTTGACCCCTTTCCAGATGCTGAAGTACACAACAGTGAAGATGAACAACAGACAGAGGGCTAGTTGCCAACTCACCCAGCCCAACTGATGAAGACCAGGGGACAGATGAACCTGCAAGACCTGCCGTCTAAGGACATGAGAGAAGTTGGTTGACAATTTATAAAAACAAACATAAAGGCCTGAAGCTACTACTGGGAGATAAAGGTGTCACAGAATAGTAAAAAAAGGTAACACTTTAGTATAGGGACAAATTATCACCATGCCCATTATTAACATATTGGCTGTTTATTAGTACCACATATTCCACATGACCATATTCTACATTCCTAATCCTACCCAATACCTAAACTTAACAACTACCTTACTAACTAATAAGCAGCAAATTAGGAGTTTGAGGTAAAAGTCATAGTTAATAGTTTGTTGATAGCGAGAATTGGACCTTAAAATAAAGTGTGACCAAAAAAGCTTAGGGAGTAGGAAAGGACTGATGAATGCAGGACAGTTAGATAAGGACAATGAGCAACATTTATATAGAAAACAGGAAATCCCGGCAGCACAAATAAAAAGTGGGAGCAATCAACTAAATGAAGCCTCTAAATCTCTCCTAAAGCAGCGGATACACAGACCCAGTCCCCCTGCATCTTTGAGAGAGAGTAACGCATTCTCTCTAAATCTCGATAGTTCTAGAAGCCTAGTGAAGGCAATGTTCTTAGCTCTATCCTTTTTAACCTGGACTTGCACTTACACGCACTTACATGCACTTACATATAGAACTCTTCAGCCGGAGAGATGGAGTAGTTGGTCCAGGAGACATTCAAATCGGTGGACAGGTAGTGGGTGCAGTTGGGAGTGTTCCACTGGTTGGTGCAGGTGGTCCAGGGCAGCGTGGCACGAAAGGAGGACAGGAGGTAGTAGAGAGCCCAGGCCATTATGGTATTGTAGTAGAAGGCAATGTAGAGTGCAATGATGCAGATGGCAAAGCCTATACCTGCAAAAGAACATGATCATGCAAATGTTTCTAGCACCTTCCACTTTGGGACAGTGGGTGACATTTAGGACAAAGTTTCATTTACATAAAATCAAGTTTCTTAAGCAACTGGCATTTTACCAGGTAAATGTGACAATTTCCATAACAGAGTCTTGGTTATCAACAAAGAGAGAGCGGAATCGGTAAGAAGTTTAGAGGAAGGTCAAGGGAGAGTGTACTATCAGCACAGCACATGTCAGTCTGTCGTTATCTCTCTGACCCTTAACCCGGGTTCTTGGTCTCAGAAGTCTGAGCTTTGTGAAGCAGACCAGTCTTACCCTTGAAGATGGGACAGATGTGTTTCCAGATGGAGATACACCCGCTGCGGTGAAACTGGCCCAAAGCCAGTTCCATGTAAAACAGCGGCACGCCACCAAACACAGCCATCAGCAGGTACGGCAGAAGAAAGGCACCTAATTTAAACACAAGGATTTAGACAGGAAGCGCAATTGAACTTCACGGTTCCATTGAATTGGTCTTAACACATCCTGAAAGCGCTATTGTACTTACAGAAAAGACGCTAAACATACACAAAAAGTTCCTGTTCAGACAAACCCCCGGGTTCCTGATTAAAGCTTTATACGTGAGCTTTTGACAGGAATGCTAGATAGCTATTGATTGAGCAGCAGCGAGCCAGATTATTAAACAACATGAGCAAGTCCCACCCATGAGAGCCACAATTAATGGTGTTGGTTGCGGCGAGTGTCTCCCTGGCCGCTCTATCTCTCATGCACTCCCTTTGCATGGTGAAACAGGAAATTACAAAGATTTTATTACTTGAAATTCAATGAAAGGAGACTAAAGCCTGTTTGTACTGACGAGGCGAACTGGATCGCACAAAGAGAGGAGACAACAGCAGAATTCCCCATTGTCTATTAGTTCTTTTTAAGCAAATATCACCTAGCTGATCTTGTCTCAAAGACGGAAATCTTTCTTTTAATGGGATGCTACACAATATTTGTTTAAGTGCATCACACTTATCTGTCTCAGAGTTGCCTGCAGCTTTAGTATCACTTTTGCCCCCCACGTTTGACCTTACCCCCTCCGTTTTGGTAGCAGATGTAGGGAAAACGCCACACATTTCCCAGGTCCACTGCATACCCGATCACCGACAGCAAGAAGTCCATCTTTTTGCTCCAGGTCTCCCTAGGTGGATCCAAGCTGGTCTGCTGGACCACCAGAGTCCTGAATGCCCCAGGGGTGCTGTCCCTGTCCGTCCCAGCACCCGCACCATCCCTGGGACTTTGTGGGGATGTGCTGGGATAACCGTTGGAGACCTGCCCAGGTCCGGAGCAGGATTTCTGACCCTTCTCCGCAACGCTGTCCGCAACAAGCCTTCCGTTTTCTTGTGACTCCTGTTCCTTCTCATGCTCTCCCCCATCCTCTCGATTCATCATCTCTGGTTGTTTCATCTCCATGGTGAGGACTGCTGTTAGGGTTGAGACGGTGGTCCTCTTGCACTGGCTGATATCGCTCCCATGAGGGGATAGAGAGCCTGGAGAAGAAGGGCCGGGTTTGGAACGGAGCGGGCTGGGATGGAGAGAGCAAGGAGAGTGTGACCGGGCCTTAACCTGTGCGTTTTAACAAGCTCAGGTAGGAAAACAGGGAAACACCGCTCAGGCCCAGCTGCAGAACAAAGAGAGGGGAATTTCAGATGGCGCTGGAGGGAATTTAGCATGGATTTACCCCTGTCATTCTCATACCATGAGAAAAACCATGTTGTTTTGAAAGATATCTGGTTTTGATTTTGATTAAATATGCCCTTACAACATGGGGTTAAAGCTGTAAAACACTAAGTGAACTCTGTACATGCCACAGCAACATTAAGCCTTCGGGAGCTGCCAAGGCAGTTATTTAATCTCATTTTCCTTGACACTGTTGTTACTTAACTTACAATAAGAGACTGTACCCGATGTTACACACAGATGCATTAGATTACAAAACATACACTTAGCACAGCCTTTTCCCTAATTTAAACAGATCTTATATACATTTATGGTACACTTACATTTAACAGTGAGAGTTAAGTAATTCCAAATATTACGACATGTTAAACAAACACATGTAAGACATGAAAGACTGTGCAACTATTTTATTTTTATTTCAGGACAGAAATGAAGGCTCAAACAAGTTTAACACTTGTTGATTGATCAATACACTGTTAAACATTACCAATAATTTATTATACTGTGTTTTAAAGTGTACTTCAGCATTCAAAATTAGCTGGAGGGTAAGTTGCTTCCAGCAACAGCCTTACTTTCCGCCTATAGCATTCTGTGAAAGCTGTTTGTAATTACTAGTTGAAATTGATGGGCAGTGATCCAGGTGGGTGAGAAGATATTAAGCAACTACTATTCATCACAACTTAATGATCATAATAATGTCAGAAATAATTGAGAGGGGAATACTAATTTTTTCCCTGCTTGCCTTTTCCTCATACTATAACAACTAACGCATTTCATTTAGTTTCCATCGGGGGATTTATTTCCGCCAAAAATGTTTATTATTTATTCAAAGTGAATCATTTGTTCCTTTAAAACACATTTATAACAAGTAAAAAACTATTAATGATTTTATGATGGCTGTAGAGAAGGTGGAAAGCGTTCCGCACTATTAAAATCAGGCAAAAAGTGAAATGTTAAAATGTTTGCACATATCCAGCATGGCAACTTATCAATACAATTAATTTGTTTGTAAAAGTTGATTCTTCAAACATGACTCAAAAATTACGCACAGGCACATTTTATGTGGAATGATTGAAAAAGTTCAATTAAAAAATAAGGACAAGCATAAGTTAAATTATCATGCCATATTATCAATCATTTGTAAATGTCTGCCACCACATATCCTTCTCATCCAAGTGTCACAAGAAGTTACAAGTTTTATCTAAGATGTTTTTCTGGACAAAGATTATCTGATTGGCAAACTGCCTGATTTTTATTATTTACAGCCCTATCTCTTTCTCCTTTCTGTCCGTTTTTCTTTGCACACACTAAATCAACCCACAAATCTTCTCTCTTTCACACACACTAAATCAACTCTCCTAATACTGAGCATCTCGGACACCTCGGCTGAATTTTTGTTCATAATCACAGATAATAGCGAGGTCAAGATCAGTGCAGCTGTGTTATGTTAAGAGTTTGTTCGGTGACCAGGATCTCATGCCAAATGTGTTTATCTATTACTCCACTATCTTCATTATTACACATCTGATATACACATAAATGCCAAATGAAATAAAGTTAATACGAACAGTTTTATAACCAATAGATATTGAGATAAAACACTTCCAGTCCCATTATAGCATTATTAGACCCATTAAAATGAGCTGCCAGAGTTCTTCAGGGTTCTCAAAAACCTCCACTACAGCAGAACTAGACTTCTACATTTTAATGAACTGAAAATATCTGTTAAAGTACAACTTTAACAAAATAAAACCATTGACAAAGACTCAATGGCATACATAGAAACATCAAAATGCCTCCTATTACACATGCAGGCACATACAGACACACACAAGCAAAGACTTGCAACCCAAACTCGCTTCATTATCACACACGGAGCCACAAACACCATGCACAGTGCAACCCTACCGTGCTGCGGTTGAGCAGTTCTGTGGGGGTCTGTGTTAGGGTGGTGACCAACACCGTCCCTGGGAGCCTGGTGCTCAAGACACACCCCCTTCACCCCTGCTCGCTCTCTTTCTCTCTCTTACTCAGTCTTCCTCTAATTTTTCTTTTACCAAAGAGTCTTTAACTTGCTTTGTGGTAGTCACCCTAAGGCACTTCACATCTAGTCACTTAGAATTAAGCTCAATGGTATAATTATGACCCCTGCTACCAAACATCTGTTCATGGATACCACAAGAGGCATGAATGGAGAGTGCAAGCCCTCGTTTAAAGCACATCCACATACTATTTATTTGTGTCAAAGGAGGCCTGACCTACATTCGCAAAATCTCACTAAGATATTCGACTTACCCATAGGATCTTAAATTGACATCAGGTTTAAGAGAAACTGCCTATTAGTTTAAAAGAATCACTAATATCCTCATAGACATGCTAGTCAAAAGGTTGGACATACCTATGACTCTTTAATATCAATAATTTTTATTACACATTTACGATTAATGTTAAACTCATCAAAATTAATGTTAAACTCATCAAAATTATAAAAAACACAAAATTCCAAACATGTATTGAATGGGTTTCTACTTTAAACACTTGTTACATATCCTTAATTATCCAGTCCAATTCTCTCTCTCTCTCTCTCTCTCTCACACACACACACACACACACATATACTGTATATATACTCTCTCTCGCTCTCTCTCTCTCTCTCTCTCTCTGTGTGTGTGTATATATATATATATATATATATACACACAGTCGTGGTCAGAATGTCACCCTTTCTTGGTAAATATGATCAAAGAAGGCTGTGAAAATAGCTGGGAATCTGAAGGGTCTGGAGAGATTCTGGATGAAGGAATTGTCTCTGATCTCTTGTCAGGTGCTCTCTAACCTCATCAGGCATTATAGGAGAAAACTCAGAGCTGTTATTATGCCAAATGGAGGTTTCAAAAAGCATTGAATAAAAGGGTGCCATTAATTGTGTGTGTCCAATGTGTATTAGAGAAAAACATTTATGGCATAATGATATTTCCCCCAATTTTAAATTCTTATTCTCCAATGAAAGGTTAGATTTATGTGAATTTTTTAAAATAAAAGATCAAAATGATTAACAATGCAGATTTATTTTCACAGCCTTCTTTGATCATATTCACCAAGGGTGCCAATAATTTTGACCACGACTGTGTATATATATATATATATATATATATATATATATGTATA